TGACGTCGTTCCAGACGCCGATGCCGCAACCATCACCTTTCCAGCCCTAGCTGGTCAGCACCATGGCCCCTGTCAACTTGGCCGGTGCACTTAACACTGCAGGGCCGTCGCGTCCCCCGCAAGCTACGGATCCGCAGATCACTCCTGATGGTCATTGCGTCTCAATTGAGAGCGATGACGGCGAGTGGGACATCCCGAGGGCCCACAAGAAGAAGAAAGGAAAAAATCCGGCCAGCGACCTCCCGAAACTCCGCCTTCGAAAGGCTGGGGGATAGGGAGGAAGGCCAGAGGAAGTCAGCCAAGCAAAGGCTGGGGCAGAGCGTTGCCCATGTCAGCGCATTCGCCCGGCTAGGCAAGGAGCGGGAGGCCGAGCCTGCCCGCACCCGGCGCTCCCGCTCTAACCGGCAGGAGCCAGCGAGGACGAGGGCCTCCCACCAGGAAGGGGAGGCAGAAAGCCAGCCCAGGCTACCGGTGGCGAACCGGTTAACCATCCCAAACGACCGCGTCCAGCAGATGGAGGCAAAGCTGGAAAGGCTGGAAAAGAAGGTCGGGGAGAAGAATGACCGGGACAAACCCCTGGCGGGGTCCCCGTTCACCACAAGGGTCCATCTGACACCTTTCCTGCGAAAGGTCAAGATCGACGCCCCCAGATTCACCGGGAAGGAAGATCCGGAAATCCACCTGGACTCCTTCAACCAGAGTGCGACCATGAACGGTTGCACCGATGAAGAAAAGTGCCTACTTTTCTTCCAGACCTTGCGGAACCGAGCCACTGAATGGTTCAATAAGCTTCGCTCGGGAAGCATTGACTCGTTCAGTGATTTGGCCTCGAAGTTCAAGGCCAAGTTCCAGGAGAATTGTACTAAGAGGAAGAAGTTTACCTATGTTAGTACAGCCGGGCAGAGGGAGTCTGAGAACCTCACTCAGTTCCTTACCCGGTGGAAGGAAGAGGTAGACAAGGTGGAAGAGATGGATGACAAGACCGTCCTCTCCCTCCTCTTGAATGGCTTGCGTGCTGGGGAACTATACAAGGAGTTCTGCCGGAAACCCCCAGCCACATACCAAGAGGCCTACCATACTGCATGCCCACTGAGCAATGGTGGGAGATGGCAGTTGATGGGGCGTCCGGTCCTAGAGGATACGGGGGTGGTATCGTGTTCACCACCCCAGAAGGGTTCAAGATCTACCATGCAATCGTCTTCAATTTCAAGCTAACGAACAATGAGGCAGAATATGAAGCTCTGGCTGGAGGGCTCAGACTTGCCCAAGCCCTGAAAATCAGCCGGGTCAGTATCAAATCTGACTCTAGCCTGATAGTAGGGCAAGTGACCGGTAACATGGAAGCAAGGGAAGGACGCATGGCACAATACAAGGACCTTGTACTTGCCCTGTTGAAAGGCTTCGAAGAATTCAAGATCGCCCAAATTCCCCGGGCGGAGAACGCGGATGCAGACCTTCTCTCCAAATTGACGCAGTATGCTCCCGAGCATGTTTCGAAACTTGCCCGGGTAGAGATCCTTGACCGTGCAAGCATCGAGAAATTGGAAGTCGCCGCAATAACTGCCGGAAGCCAGTTTGACCGGTCCAACTTGGTCGGGGTGGACGACCATTGGATGTATGATCTGATGGAATATTTGACGGAGGGGAGCTTGCCAGAACAAGATGACCGGGCAAGAAAAGTGAAGCTCAGGGCACCCCGATTCCAGATTCTTGATGGAAAGCTGTATAAAAGGGCATTTGGAGGGCCACTCCTGAGATGTCTAACCAACCGGGAAGCTGAGCGAGTCATAGCGGAAGTCCATGAAGGCGTATGCGCGGCGCATCAAATGTCCCGTACGCTTTCCCAGCGCATCATCTTGTTGGGATATTACTGGCCAACAATTGTCCAGGATTGTGAAAGGTACGTCCAGAAATGCAGGACGTGCCAAGTATTCTATAAGTATCCCGGTAGACCGGCGACCTACTACCACCCCGTATCGAATGTCATCCCATTCGCTAGATTCGGGGTTGATATCATTGGAGCCTTCCCGGTCGCTCAAGGAGGGAAGAAGTTCGTAATCGTAGCCATCGATTACTTCACCAAGTGGATCGAGGCCGAAGCATTGGCCAGCATTACCACGCAACAATGCAAGAAATTCATTTGGAAGAGCATCATCACAAGGTTTGGAGCGCTCATGAACCTCATCATCGACAACGGCCCACAATTCCGAAATCCAAGATTCACTGAATACTTGGAAGGCTTCGGGATCAAGCACAATCGTTCCTCGGTAGTGTACCCCCAAGGGAATGGCCAAGTCGAAAACGCCAACCGAATGATTGTGGATGGTCTAAAGAAACGGCTGGGAGAAGCAGGAAGCAAGTGGCTGGAGGAGCTCCCACACATCGTATGGGCATTCCGAGTAACACCCAGGAGGGCTCACGGGGAAACTCCATTCTCCCTAACCTATGGGTGTGAAGCAAGGCTGCCCATCGAAGCTGAATTCCCCACGTTTCGGGAGTGAAATTATCAACCCCAGCAGAATGAGGAAGATCACTTGGCCGAACTCAACTTGGTCGAAGAGCGGAGAATGGCCGCGGAAGTCAAAATGAGCACATACCAACAAGTTGTGAAGAAGTACCATGATAACAAGGTCGGGCCGCGATACTTCCAAGTTGGGGATGAGGTCCTACGAAGAAGAGAAGCAAGTAGACCCAGCGACGGAGGAAAGCTAGCAAAAAACTGGGAAGGCCCATATAGGGTTAGAGCCATCATTCGCCCGGGGACATACCGGTTAGAAACTCTTGAAGGGGTACCGGTAGAAAGAACCTGGAATTCCCATCATCTTCGCAAGTTCTACAAATGATTGTAATACTAGGCAAGACCTACTTTATTATCAATCAAACCGATGATGTTCAATACTCTATTTGGTGGCGGCAGGATTGATAGGTCGAACCTATCCTAGGAGGGCTTCCTGGGTGGATCGAATCCACTTGGCTAAGCCAACTGAGACACAGGCCCGGACCTGGCACGCTGGTTACTACACCAGTCTTGCTCAGTATAATAGAAAAATATCAAAACCCGGAAGAGGGGCCCGGAAGAGGGTATGCCTGCAAGAGGGCTGGACCTGGAAGAGGGTTCGAACCGTACTTACACGGGCCCATGAGGTTTGACTGGTGTCGGGGAATCAGCCGACGCCGTCAGATTGATTGGGGACTAAAAAGATGCCCATTAAAAGAAATAGAAGGGGATCGTCCACCGTGGCGCATCCTACATCCCCCTTCTCAGGGAAGACTTGAACGGGGGGGTGAGCTAAGGCCTTCCCGGGATGGTAGAAATCAAAGGGCCATTAAAAGACTTAATCACCCGCAAGAGGGGGCCCTGGAAGAAGGGTGCATTTGAACCTTGGAGAGGGTTCGAAACCATTCGACATGGTTAAATCTCCAGTATTCTTACCGGTTAAGGATACTACAAGAATTTTTAGGTTACAGGTGTTTCCATCTACAACCTACCGATAAAAAAAAAAAAAAAAAAAAGTACCCCGGTCGGGTATGGGCACAACAGAACTTCGAAAGTTCTACGTCCGTCGGAAGGCAAGGCAGTTGCCCGGTCAAACCGTGGAGTGGGAATTCACCCTACCAAAAGAATTTGTGAAGCCATCCAAAAGACAAGAGTAAAATTCTGCCGGTCAAACTTTTAAAGTTGGCCGAAACGGTGAAGACGTTCGAAAAGCAAAAATTGAAGTTTAACCGGTCAAAGTTTCTCGGGCTGACCCTTGAAATAAAGTGACCAGAGAGAACTTTGAAGTAATACCGGTCAAAGGAAGTATGGTGATTGATTACTATACCGGTCGGGTATCCTATGATGGCGTTCTAAGAGGCAAAGATCAAAGTATCAATCAACAAGCAAGCAGATATGAAAGATTAACCGGTAGGCAAATTAAGCATTGCATTCAAACGGAACAAGCATGTCAAATGTTTACAGATACACCGGGCATTCCCGGGAGAACGAGTTTGAAGTTTTACAAAATAATTCAACCGGT